CAAACATTAAAATCTCAGCTGAACATTGATCTGCTCAGGTTGCCCTGGGCGTGCTCAGGGAGCCCTGTGCAGGGAACATGTGTGAGATACCTTCTGCAAAGCTGGCTGAGCGGTCTTTTGGTAAGAGTAACTGCACTCTGTAGAACAAAACTTTAAGGACTATTTTGGATATACACTGGAACAGCCACAGGCTGGAAGTAGGTTTTCCAAAGCATTATAGGTGGAGGGAATGTCACGGATGCTTTAAAACTCTTCAAATACACGTAAAAATGACATGTACGTTACGTATTATCTCCACAGAATAAACACCATTTGAAATGTGCCCCTTTTTAACTACCATTATGAGCTGTCTAAAGAGCATTTTGGTTGAAACTTGGGAGGAAAGGAGAGGGGAAAAAAAAAAGCCCACTGATCTTACACCTGCTCTTTAGCAGTGGGAAGTAGGTTCTCAATCTGTTAACATGACCATCTGGTCAATCTGCATATCACGGCTATCTGGATTACCCATATGATGGAATGACAATAACATAGCCAAAACAAAAGTAAAACGTATCAAAAACTAACAGTAGCGCAAGTCCTTTTGATTTTAAATTAAATAATAAATGTGGCATCAGAGCAAGGCGAGAAAGTCAGCTAAATAATTAAAAATGAGCCTTCGCTACAGCATAATTAAGTAAACAATATGGTGTGTGTTTCTGTATGAGCCAGTAATAGTTTCCACCATGGAACACTCCACTTTTGCAGAGCAGCGATCGGGAGTTCAAGGCGCTGCGACAGCTCTTTCGGTGACGTACGGTATTGTCAGGACACCTCTGCCATCCCTGCGACACGCCGGGCCGGCTGCGGCTATTAACAGGATTAATGCAGCAACAATCAATACCAATTGTACTAAAAGATTACAGCGTAAAGCCTCAGATACCTTTTGGACCCCCCAGTACCTCCACGGGTTCGTGGGCTATCTGCAGGCGCTTTCTGCCTTAACCCATCTTTGCATTATTTCCCATCAATGCCTGTTTGTGGTGGTCCAAGTAGGAATATTTTAAATCTGCTGATGGGAACTTAAAATGGGTCTGCCTAAAGTTCAAGGCCATGTGCTCTATACCACTGCCCAGCAACTAGCCACAGAGCATATTTAGAGGTTAAATAAATTTTCAATCACAGAAATAAGGCTGAGTTCTTGCATCTTCGCTGGCTTCTAGTCTAACATGAACGGAAAAATGAGCTCATGTAAATAAAGCTCTAGCCCCACATTTTTCTTAAATTTGAGATTTTTAAATGTCTTTCTGAAAGATTAAAAGATTTTCTCTGCCACAAATACCTCATGAGCTTAATTCTCGCCTGAAGCGCGTAACGATGGCCGGCCAAAAAAATAAACCAGGCATTGCAGCATCGCCTCCTGGCCCGCCATCCAGCTTTGGCTACTAGAGAAGGCTCTAAAAACTGTGACCTCTCACAAAATTTAACTACTTCTATTGCAAATCTATTCTCCAATCTGATCACATTAGCAGAAGGAACTCCAAAGCAGTAAAAAACTCCAGAAAGTTCTCGGTTGAGTGCCTACTAATGAACAAAGGTTAACTTTATCTAAAAGGTCAAATGCCTGGTGGCTAAGGTTGTGACCTTAACAACTTAAATTGTGACCTTGCCACGTGCCTAGTATATTGTAGATTCTGATACAGATCATCTGGTAAAGGACCGGTCATAAATTAGCTTTACTGTTCGACTCCCACAAAGAAAACGGTTTGCCACAATGGTTTCCAACTTGTCATTTGATACAAGCACAGAATAAGTGAAAACTAAAAAGCGAACCCAAGTTCAGGGTATGAAAATGCTGCCTGCTTTTAGTTAAGCAGATTAGAAACTGCAATGTGAGAGTAATACTCTAGATTTCAATACATTTTTTGGTCAACCTCTAATTCACAAAACACTGATCTTCCTTTTTTTTTTTTTTAATAAATTTCTCTCTTTTTCCTTTTAATGAAAATGACATGTAGTTTGCCTATTTGCATATTTTTGTTTTCTCTTTCTAGCCAGTTCTTAAAGAGAATAATTGATTTCAGTAGCTTTGTAAGAGGCACTATTTAAATCTGTGCACATGTGTTCCCTTACAGATGATAGTGCCTACTGAAGAAAAAGCGTGGATTCAAAGCAATAATTATCCTACATGTTTAGAAGGAAAGGGACATCTTGCTGCCGAAGTCATCTTGAATAAGGGCATCTTGGAAAAGAATACTCCCCGCCCAAAAAAGAAGACGAAAAGTGGGGGGAAAAAAAAAAAAACAAGAAAAAGAGAAGCGAGCACTATGGGTGAAAAGGTCACAATGGTTTTGGCACGCATCTTCAAGCACGTTTCGGAGTCTGTGCCTCCTGCCAATACTGGCAACTTCTCAAAACTTTTAAGGAGGTAAAAACATTGTTTAGTGTTTACAAATCTTCTGTACTATAGCAGATGCTTGTCAAATCCGCTATACGTAAGTTGACCAGCCTACCTAATATTTCCACTGGTGACTTCCTCCTTATAAATATGCAGTCCATACATTTACGGAGCAAGGTCTGATGGAGTTGGAGACAAAGGACCCTTAATATTTTTTTTCTTTTGTAATTTTCCTGTTGCGCACCCGGCACAAGCTGCCATTACTGCGGGTCTGCGGGAACCAATGGCTGTCTACTTGGCCAATGTTCAGGTGTAACAAAGACTGCTGGGATACATCGGAGGGGGGAAAAAAATGAAAAAAGGGGGGGAAAAAAAGAGGTAGCCTGTACGCAAGGCTTTTGGTACACCTCTGTGAAGCGATATGGACGGCGACCGCGCTGTGCTACCTCCCAAAAATCATTTTGTCCCCCTCCCCGCTGAGGTTTAGCAGGAATACGCCAGCACACGCTACAGCATTAAGAGCACAATGCGATGCGTGCAATCAGCAAACAACGGCCAAAAACACGAAGTGGTGCGCTTCGCACGAGCGCATTACTGCTCACACGAATCCAAAATCTAACCCCAAAAAGCCAAGCCGAGGCCTCGTGCTAAGTTTCTGTGGCAAATGTAGTCCAAAGGACAATTAGTGCGATTGCTGCCTGTTGACGGTGAAGGCAGAAATAAATAAGAGTTCGCTATCAAGGCTACTGTTTGCAACCAGCGTGCTGATAAGATGGGATATCCCTAATCACAATACTGAACTTTCATAACATCTATTGCCCGACTGTTATAACAGGGAGAGGATCCTTTCAAGCTCCCTGAAATACCTCCACCCCTGGGTTTGGTTCTTTTCTCCCCATTCTACATTTTTATGACCCTAGAGGCAGGTTAAGCCAAGACTGTTGGTTTCTATGAACAACTTGTGCGCTCCACGGAGGACTGCTTGGGAAACACAATACAGACCAGTATTTACCAGCACTATGCTATATATAAATCTAAATAATAAAAACCTGTGTGTCGTGGAGTGTAAACAGCAGTTTTAGCCGTGGATATCAAAGCACTTTAAATGCATCACCCCCCTTCGACATGCAGAGGAGGAAACTAAGGTAGACAAAAGGGATGCGAGTCCATGGTCTCCTCAAGGTTGGTGATGGAACGGGAAGTGACCTGAAATGCCCCAGTCCCAACCTCCCTTCAGTTAGCCATTAATCCATGATCCTTCCTTCACCGTGGCCATAATAAATTGCAGAGCAAATAAATAGTTTTCCCCAATATTTGCCTACTTCCCCTTTGTCATAAACGAGCAATAGGATTTACCACCTCGCACTGAAGTGTAAAGCAAATGTTGCAGCTTATCTGAAGGAAATACCACGAGGATACTCGAAAGTTATTTCCGAACAGGGATCATATCTGTAAAATCCCAGTGGTGACACTGCCTATCACAACAACCATAGCAGGGACTCAGCACAGAAGAACTTTGGGGGAGCCAAAACTTTCTGCAAGACCCTCCGAAAGAAGTCCGCATGGGAAGTGCAATGCTCCCAGGGCTGTAATTCACTCAGTTTCCTTACCAACAAATATTTATGTAGAAGTGGTTTCTACTAATATGATTCCTCTCCCCTCTGCTCCTCTTTTTTTCCAGCCTGTCCAGCCCCTCAACTTACAAGTCAGGATATGCAGGGTGGCCTAAGCATCCCGTACATGAAACTCAGGGCCTTGCACTTCACGCGCACACATATTTCTGCACTGTAGTCACTCAGGAGAACTACAATAGCATATTATTTTATCCAGTCAACATACTACGCATCCTCTGGGCACACCGCGTCACGCCGCAGGCAGAGTGTACTTTTTGTTGGAGTCAGGGATCCCAAGATTTTCATCACACACAAAAACATCTCAGCCCTCCCCCAGTAAGCACAATATTATCAAATCAGGAATTATTTTCAAGACCTCCTTAGCTTCTAGGTATATAAACTGTGATATCTGGGGGGGGGTTAAGTGTCTTCTTTTGCCCCTAGGATTACGCAGATGTTTGTTTTGTGCTTGCTTTAACCTGATGACTAGGTTTGCTATCAAGGGACTGTCTTCTCCTTTCCCTCCAAGCCCAATCCTGTGGAATTTATGCTCCTTGTCTCATCCCCATGGGGTGAGGATACCTGGTACTCCTGACTCACAGGCCTCAGGCATCTCTAGCCCTCTTGCACTACTTTATGCATAACATATACAAATTTTATTAAAAAAAAAAAATCAATTAAAATCTGTTTTCCCCCAAAATCAGGATAAAGAAAGACGTGTCTGGCTGTGAGCCCTTCTAGGACAACGTTTAGGATAACACCTGTGAAGGATGCCCAAAATGCTGTTAACCATGGGAAAACAAGAGCCACTTTTATGTGGCTGCACCTTAAAAACCCATGAAAAAAAAAAATAAAAGGGAGGGGGGAAGTTTTGGCACCCTCCTCACCACCCCGGGAGAGCGAAAACCAGCAACCCCTACTCCCTCCCCGGCCCATGCAGCCGCCACCGGGGCACAGCACCCGGCACAGAGATAACCAAAAAATTGGAGAAGGTGGTATAGAAAGGCACTTACCTGCTGCGTGCACAAAGTATGCCAAATATAAATCGAGTTCCTTAACAGAAACTCCTATATGGTGGGGCTGTACGCACAGCCCGGGGTTAGAGCACTGTGGGGACTTTACAAGGCGCTCGCCATCAGTACTTTCGAGCGGAATACCTTTAAATAAAATCACCATAACAAGGTCCAACCTCCAGACCTTATCTGCCTGGCGAAGGCAGTCAATTCTTCTCATCTTGCCCTTCTGGTCTGGATTGGAAAGAACGCAACACGGAGGCTTTTTTCCTGTGACTGTGAGAACAAAATCCTCCCGAAATTCAGGCCTGATATCTTTCCGGAGCTTTGCCAGAAGTCTGGATGCCCATTTTTGCTTTACCTCGGGTTTTTCACTTAGCAGTTCGTCCTTCACGGCTCTCTCTTCCTCTTTTGACATGCGTTTTTCATGTTTTTTGAAGTATTTTCTTTTTCGGGCTTGCAGGTTGAACCACGTGTATGCAAACGCTCGGACGTGAGGCAGAAGTGCTTCGATGAAGGGATGAAATTCATCCTGAAAAAAGTTACAGAGAAGGGTCGATGTCACCGAAACCATCAAGAAAGAGCCTCCAGAAATGGGGTTTTCACGGGATGGTGAGAATTAGAAGGGTGCTTATAAATTTTAAGGGCTGTGGGACTTATAACCCTCACTGACAGACCCCGAACCCGCCACTGCCGCATCCCCGCTTCCCCTTGTACCGACCCAAAAACTCCGCTCCCGCCCCCAAAAACAGCATCCAACTTCAACCAAGTGCCCAGATGGAGATGGAGCAACGCTGGGGCCCCCTCTTCCCAATCCCCACATTTCTAAAAAATAAAAAAGTTAGAATGAGTTAAAAGCTAAAAACACGGCTCTAAGTCCACTTGCGGAACGCGTATCTCCCTTTGCTCTCTCCCTGACCCCGCTGCTTGCGGTGTAGCCAGCATTTGCCCGCCAATTTGGCAAATCCTAAACATTTGGATGCCAATCAATGTTTGTATGGGGAAGTCTAAAGTATAGTGAAACTTTCCCTAAGATATATTTGGAAATAGCAGCCGGCAGTATAGTAAAATGCCACTATAGCTGTATATACAATTACAATGAACAGTGGTTTTCACTCTGGTTCCTGAAACGGTGAAGGGAGTAGAAAGTACCGCAGTCAATTTATCTTGCAAGCGCAACAATAACACTAAAATCCTAAAAAAAGCAAGTCTTGCAATTTTTTAATTTTTTTTTAAGTTTTGTGTATATTTTACAAAAAGAAAAAAATCCCAAAACTTGACATTTTGGCATATAAGGGAAAGTCAAACTCTGAGCCTTTCTATAAAATAAAATAAAAAACAATAGGAAAAATTGAAAACTGTAGTAACAGAAAACCATAGCACAATTTGTGCAAATATGTGAAGAATTATTAATTGTTTCAGATATTTTTAGATATTTAAAAAGAAATGCCCTACTTGGAAAGTTAGTTTGGCCATCCGGAGACACTGCTTGCTTTGTGTAGCAAGGAGTTAAAGATCACCCCTCTCCCTTGGCACAAAAATAATCACGATTAAAATTATGCTGACGATAAAAAAAAGCAAGAAAGACCCCTTGGTTTTGTTTTAAAAAAAAAATTATATATATATATTCTCAGAAAGTACTACATAAATCAGCCTAAGAGATCAAAACATATTATAATATACTGGGGCCACACTTCTCATTTTTTCTTGGAATAAATGAATGACCGAACTCCAGGCTGCACATAAAAACGTATCCAGCCTGTGGGGCCTGATCCAGTGCTGTGGGCTGGGGACGTCCCTGCTTCCAGTTCCTCCTTTTCTCAGGATTGGGCCCTCCAGGAGTGAAAAATAAAGTAATTTGTGCAAAGTTTTCCCCAGCATGGGAAAAGCCACCCGCTGCCTACGCCTGCAAGAAAACATTGGGGATTTTTCAGATTAACTAACTTTTTTTTTTTTTAATTATCCCATGGAGTACATTTCCTACCCAAATCATTGCAGGTTGCATAAATATTGTTATAAAAAGAGACATTTTACTTCCTTTCAACACTTCACTTTAATTTGCATTTTCTTTTCAGAAATTATGAAAAATTGAGAAATCAATAGTAAAAATATCTACCAGCAAAATCCTGTCATAATTCAAGACCTTCTGCTGACTTCCCAAAAGCTTTCATTGCACTTATTCTAAGTGGCCCCAGAATTAGAAATACTTAAATCTATAGGTAATACCATTGCATTTATTTTTATTTTAAACACATATTGTTAAAAACTTCCCAAACAGCACAATATATTTCATTAGAGCAAAATGGCAGTAATTAAAGTACTATGAAGGATTATTAAAATAAAAGCAGGTAAAATAAAATAAATCAGCCCAATGATTGGCACATTCCTCTTTTTTTTTCTCCCTCCTCCATGGGAAAAGATGATAGTTTCAAATTTCAATAAAGTTAAAAAAAAAAAAAGATTGCTGCGAGTTTGCAGTCGGCAGATTCAAAAAGTGAGAGGAGGCACAATCCCAGCACATGGAGCTGCTCTCACCCACCAGAAACAGCTCTCACGGGGGGGGCAGAGAGGGGAAAAGAAGAAAAATATAAAAACTACAGGTCCCTACAAGCTATTAAAAATAATAAACCCTCCCTCTTGATCTCTCCTGTCCTTCTCTTTCCCCACTCCGGGAGAGTCAAGGAAAAAAGGCCTTTTGTCAAGTGGAAGTTTATCTGCAAAGGTACACAGAGCAGAGAGGCTCGACAGCCCCAGAGCGAGCCAGGGCAGCGCTTCCAGCCTTCCCACTTTCCAAACACGTCTTGGTACATCCTGAAATATTTTAACTTTTCTGCTTTAAGCAGCGCTTTGTCCTGCTTGATCTCATGTGCTCGAGACTTTTTTGGCTCAACGCTGGATACTGTCCAAGAGAGAGTTGCTTTAACCTGCGCTAAAGCTGATTTCTCTACGATGTGAACCTGAAAGGGGAGGTAAAAACAACACCCAAAAAAAAATTTAAAAAAAACACAAAACCACTTTAGAAGGAGGGGGGGGAAAGATGATGTTATTTGGTGCAAAGTCAGGGTCTGTGGCTGAAGTAAACGAGAAGCACCGCTGCTCGTGCGCGAGGTGTGCACGTCCCTATTAGACTCCAATGTGTCTTTTCAAAATGGTGTATGAGGAGAAAAGGTTAATGACTCATAAACAGACCAACTTTCAAACTGTCTTGGTAAACACGCTGCTCCGGAAAATTGCACCGCTTCAATCTCAGCGGTGAGGTATTAGCAAAGTTCAAGTGGAAATAAAAGCAGCCAGGACTGATCAAACAGAATTCGGCTGGAAGCAGGGACGGAGGAGGGGGGAGCAGTTTCTGCACAATATAGTTATTTATTTCAGCATTATTACAGCCCCCCAAAACACCCAAAAAGTTTTGGAAATGTGTCAGTGCAAGTATGCTAACAGATACACAACTTGTCTGCAGCCTCACTGCAAAATAGCAGGATTTTAAGGAACTGGTGGAAAAGGCGATGATCTTTCCCTTTCCCCAAGTTAGCTTGAAGAGAAACTTTGAAAGTATGTGATAAAGCTGTTTACTTTCCCCCCTTGGTGTTGGATGGGTCACCTAAAAATAAAAGACACCAGAAAGCTGGAAAAACGATAATAAAAAGTTGGTTTTTTTCTTTATTGCACTACTCTCCAAAGTTTGAGGATACAGCTCTTCCGAGAGCTGCCTGTTTCTAAGCAGCACCTAAAATTTGGGCCACACAATTTGGTACTGTTATCCCAAAATTCTCTTCTGCTCTTCAAAAAGATGTTAAAAAAAAAAAAAAAAGAACTATGGTAAAAGAGCCCCAATCCCAGCCCAAAGGTGCCCGCAATAATGTAATCCTGCAAAGGAGGCTTTGAAACAATGTATTTCTGCAGATCTTTTTGAAATTAAGCCAGCTACAGCGACCCTTGCTAATATTTTTACAATCCATTTACTTGTAAATCTATGAGGAGATGTGCATATGTTCCCCAACTATTTCCTAGCTCCTCAGCAGATATGTAAATGGAACAATGTTTGGATTTTTCCTGACAGATGATACAAAACGCTCGTGCCATTTCGGTTCCAGGGCTTGGATAAATATGCTCAGAACCACGATTTCTGTTTGTTTTCCTTGTCTAACCCACTTCCAAGAGCTTCCCTTTAAATTTGAATTAAAACTTGCCAAAAAAAAAAAAAATTCTGTTCCAAAACTTGTATCAATAAAAGCTCCCGAAATGATAAAATAGGAAATTGCTTGAATTGCTTGCAATGGCTCAGGGCTCGCCCCCTTTTCTATGGAAAAATGACAGAACCACCTAATTGATCCTTCAGAGGGAAGAGTTTGTCAGGAGGCCTCTAATCCTCATATTACTTTTCCAAACGTGCAGCAAGAATGCAAGATTTTCCTAACGGAGTCAAAGCACATGCTGGGCTTTTTGCCCCTTTTTTTTTTTTATAAATTGAAAAAAAAAAGAGGGGGGGGCACATAACATGACTGGGCCACAAGCAACCAGCCCATGGATTTATTTTCTCTCCTTAATGTGTAACTGGGCCTACTGAGCCCAAGGAGCCCCACGTGGAGATGCCAAGCGAGTCGGTGCTGCGGGCCCTGCACGGAGCGTCCGGGGGTCCCTCCTGCAGCTGCAGAGCTGACAAAAACCAGGTATTTTTCAGAGTTGAATTAGAAGCACAAACTTTGTCCAGGCAGAGCCCAGAGTTGCATCCCAACCTCTGCAAACTCCTTTTGCTCTCGTTTTTCCTCCTGCCTTTGAGCAAGTGTATGGTTTGGAGTTTCGTGTCCCCGCCGGCCTGGCATTTCCTCACCAGCACCCCAAAATTTGGAGGAGGCTGGGGAAGGAGAGGGGACCATGACGGGAGAAGGGGACGAAACTTTTGCAGCTCTTCAGGCTGCCTGGGAAGCTGCCGCCCCTCTCTCTGCAATTCCTTGCCTTTTTCTCGGCGGAAAGAGCCCGGAGAGGCTTTCTCACCGGGAGAAAAAAAATATTCCAATTAAATTAATAAGAATAATGTAGTCAAAATCTCCTGCAGGAGGAAATAATCTGGGGTTTGAGTCCGCCACAAAGCATTTCCTCGTTAAACCATTATATCCTGCTAATTGAAGGGGTGTAATTCAGCGTCCTGCAGCAGCGCGCGGGGAAAAAGGGGGGGCCGGGGGATCCGCGGCCGCGCAACTGGGGGGCACCGCGCAGCGACCCCCCCCCCCAACATTCCCCGCGCAGCCCCGTCCCGCCGAGAGCGGGGGACGCAAAAGTTGCGCCGAGTCCCGCGGGGGCCCGATCCGCGGGCGGGAGGGTGGCGAGGGGGGCGACACGGGACACACGCGGGACAAGTTTGCGGGTGTCCGTGCGGGGACACGCTCACGGGTCCCCGGCCGCGGCGGCCCTCCGGGGGTGCGGAGGGTGCTGAGCGCGGGGGCGGCTGCACCGCGCCGCACCGCGGGAGCAAGCCCAGGTGCGGGGGACGGTCCCTCTGTCCACGCCCGGGGCGGCGGGGGGCTGGCGCGGAGCCGGCGGGGCCGTTCCCGCGGAGCCCCGGGCGCGGTGCCGGGGGTGCGGGCCGCGCCGTGCCCGGGGCGGGGAGCGGCGCAGCGGCTCCAGCGCTGCCCCGGGGCCGCGGTGCGAGGCTGTGCGGGGCGCTCCGGCGCGGGCGGCAGCATCGGCGGCATCGATCGCGGATGACCAAGCACGGCGGGGCCGTGCGGGGTTGTCCCGCAGCACCGCGCCCGCGCGGCCCCCCCCCGTTAATTAAAGCATTAATAAGTAGGCGCCATTAGCCATGTGCCGACACAAATGGCCGTGCGGGAAGGGGGTGGAGGGGGGGGGATGCGAGCGAAAGGCAACAAAGTTAGTTTCGGCGAGCGGCGGTGGTGCCCCTTCCCCGGCGCGCACGGCCGCGCACCCCCGCAGCGCCGGCCCCACCGCGCCCCGGCGGCCGCTTACCTGGGTGAGACAGAGCGGAGAATACATGACTGCTGCGGGGGGCTGCGGTTTGGAGGTGTGCGTGTGCGGGGAGAGAGGGAGAGAGAGAGGGGGAGAGAGAGAGAGGGAGAGGGAGAGAGAGGAGGGGAAAAAAGAGAGAGAGAGAGGAGAGGAGGGGGAGCCCCGAGCCTGCTTCTTGCTTTCACATTTCCAACTCTGCCAAACTGCAGCCAGCGCGGAGCCGCTCCATGAGCTGAACTTTAACCCCGCCTCGACTTTCCCGCACTACGCGCTCGGCATGCCTGCCCCGCGCGCCGTTAAAGGCATAGCGCTTCGCTGCGCGCCCCTCCGCCGCCCCCGCTCCGCGCCCCTGCGCTCCGCTCCGCGCCCCTCCGCTCTGCGCCGCGCACCGCCCGCCCCGCGCCCCGCGCCGCCCGCCCGCGGGGGCGGGGAGGGGCGGGGAGGGGGCTGCGGCGCCGCCGCCTCCCTCCGCCCCGCCGCCCCGCAGCGCGGCCAGCCGCGGAGCACAGAGCCCAGCTCAAAGTTTTCTTCGGTTTTTTTGGTGGTGGAGGGGGGGAGGTTTTGTGTATTTTTTTATCATAATTATTATTTATTTATTTTGCTCTTCCCGTGGGGGGCTGCGGCTCCGCTCGGCCCTTGACCGTGGAGCGATGGGGTGGTGGAGTGGGGGGGGGGGGGCCAGAGGGAGCGGCGTTGCCTTCCACAACTTTCCCCGTCCCCTTTGGCACTTGTCATTTTAAATCAAGCGCTTTTAAATCGAGGGTGCCTTATTCCACTTAATAATAATAATTTTCTTTAAAAAAATAGCAACACTTAAATTCAGCTGCACATCGAACCCCCCCACCCCCCGCATCCTCCTTACTTATAAAATCTAAAAGTGAAGCGCTTAAAATTAAAAATACTCCCGCGCCTCCTGCCACTTCTGAAGCGCATTGTCTTGGCACCGGCAACGTTTGGGTTTGGGGTTTGGATGCTCTCCAGCCCGCTCCTGAGGACTCGGAGGGTGTCCCGGGTGGTGTGTGTGTCCCCCATTTCCGCTTGGGAATAGCGTTTTCCACTACTGCTGGAGGCGGTTTAGGTGACCCCCGTGTCAGTTATAGGCGCGTAGTTAAAGGCTTTTTTTTTTTTTTGAGGGTGGGGGGAACGACGACACACGCAGGGAAAAATCCCATCTGTAGGGGAATAAGGGGAAAAATCCCTTCCCGCAGCTTGTTTAGGAGGTGGCGGAGGAGTGGGTTGTGTCCCTCCCCCGTCCGTGCCGCACCGTTCCCAGCCTTTTGCGGTTTCCAGCATTATCTTTTAAGTAACTTTTGGCGCCCTTCGGGAGACTTTTGGCCGCGGGACGGCTGGTTGCGCCCTCTAGGCAGGGGCCACGGTCAAGTGCAGCCCCTCCGCAGCCGCCGACAACCCCCCCCAAAAAATAAGGGGAGAGCAAAACCACCTCTCCCCCGGCGGTATATTTGAGCGCTAAACGGGTGGCCGCGCAAGTTATCCTCATTTCTCCCAACTCAGCGTTTTGTTAAGCACGCTTTAAAAAATAAATAATTTTTTAAATGTAGGGGGTTTTAGCTTTTTTTTTTTCCTTTCTTTCTTCTTTTCCCCTCCCCCCCCCTTTTTTTTTTGGGTGCTAAATCCGGAGATTTCCGAGGGCTCTGTCCCCGCCAGCGGCCCCGTTCCCCCGCGGGGCGCCGCCAACTTCGGCGGAAAAGAAAAAAAAAAAGGAGAAAAAGAAGGAGGAAAAAAAAGGGAGAAAAAATAAAAAGAGAAGAAAAAATAGAGAGAAAAAAAATGAGAGAAAAAAAGGAGGAATAAAAGGAAAAAAAAGGCGCGCCCCTCCCCCCGGGAGAGTTCAAACGTCGCAACACCCACCCCCGGCGCTGATTGGGCAGCGCCAGGTGACGTCACAGAGCATCGCCCCGCCCATTGGTCCGCGCCACGGTCCGTCACAGCGCGCGCCCGCGCGCGTTTCTTTGTGCGCGGCCGCGGCCGCTCCAGGATGGGCGCGCGCGGGGCCGGCGCGCACGTACGGGCGGGGAGGGGGAAGCACGGGGGGGAATCTGTCAAGCTCAGCGGTTTTCTCAAATCCCTTCAAAAAAAAAAAAAAGGTTAAAAAAAAGAGGAAAAAAAAGAAAGGCGGCGGCGCAGGGCTGCGCGCCCGCGCTCCCTCCGCGTCCACAACCCGCGAGACACAATAGCGAATTCCCTCTGCTGCGAAAGCGTGGGAATCGGGATAAAAATACAACACACAAAAAAGAGGAGTTTAAGCGGCGCCGCGTCCCACGGGCAGGGATAACAGGCATAACACTGATAACAGTGCGGGAGAAACTTTGCGGGCTCTGATGGTTGGCGGCACTCTTTTTTTTCTTTTTTTTTTTTTCCGCGATTTTTTTGTATTTTTTTAATGGCTTAAATCAACTCGCGGCCGTTGGGAACCGGAAGGGAAAACCCGCCGCAGCCAACTGCGGCCAGCTCTTGGATGGGATGTATTGGGGTTTTGGGGTGATTTGGGGGTTTTGGTGGCTGCGGCGCGGGGCGACCCAGGGCTGGGGCAGGGGGATCCGGGCGCTGCCGCCACCTCTCCCCGCTCTGCCTGGTGGGCTTCCAGTGCCCGGGACTTTGCAGAAGTTACGAGCGATTTGCCAGCCTCCCGCCCACCTCCCTCTTCTCCTCCTCCTCCTCCTCCTCCTCCTCCTCGCCCCCGCCCCCGCTTATTTCCGCAATCGCCGCGATTCGCACAGGAGACCCGCACCGGGGGGCGGCGGGGCTCATGGGCATCCCCCGCACACCCCCCAACGCCGGGCGGCCCCGCGGCGTGTCCCGCCCCCGCCAAGCCCCTTCCCAGCCGCGGGGGTCTTGCGCGGGAGGGCGGCGGGGGAATGCTGTGGGTGGATGCTGCGAGCGCCCCTTGCACGGGTAACCCACCCCCATCCCGCACGGATAACCACCACCCCTCCCCGCTTGGATAACCCCCCCTTGCACGGGTAATCTCCTCCCTTGCACGGGTGACCCCGCCGGCACGGGTAAACCCCTCCCTTGCACGAGTACCCCCCCATGCGCACCCCTCGCACGGGCAGCCCTCCCCAGCGCGGGGAACCCCCCGTCCCTTGCACCAGCAAAGCTCCTTTGCTGCACGGGCAAAGTTACCCGGCGCTGACAAACCCCCCATCCTCGTTTGCACGAGCGCCTTTTACATCCCCCCCTGCTCTGCACAAACCCTACCCCGCTTCCCCCGCCCGCTCCGGGTGCTGTGTCGGTGCGGGCTCCCCCCGGCCGGGCGAGCCCCCGGCAGGGGAGGACCGATCCTCCCCGCAGCGCGGCCGTGCCTGGCAGCGATGCAGCAGCCGAGCTGCAAAGTCTCCAACTTACACGGCACCCCTAAAATAGTCCTGATTTCATCCCTGAAAGGATTTCCTGGCTTTGTGTGTCTTAACTAGCCTTGGCCATTTTTCTAGAATAACCCCATTATTCACAGCTCCGAGGGTACAATCTGCTAAAGTCACTTAATAAAAAAAAAAAAAAAAAAAAAAAAAAAAAAGCCAAACAGAGGAGAAAGAAAAACCTTCAAAGGGCGTGAGAAATAAAGGCAAACAAACAATTGTCTGTGGCTCTCAGCTCCCCTTGATCGTGGATACCCGCTTCATTAACAGCAGAAGCATTATATGCTTAAAACTGGAAGCCTCAAGATGCGTGATAATACTGCAAAATTAATTTGGAGGGGGGGGAGCAAGTGGATCTGAAGGTTAATTACTATTTTTTGACAACAAAGTGAGACTTTGACTCACACAACTTAACTCATAAGGAGTGGTGTGGTTACCCCTCTGAATTTACTGCTTTTAATCGACTCAAGCAGGTAGTTAAAGAGACAGAGGTTGCAGTCGCAGTGTATTGAGTACAGAGATGAAAAAAGAAGAAAAGGAGTAAGAAAGTAAAAAAACCCTGAGACAGTGATTTTCAGTTTCCAGTTTGGGAGCCCCAGACCTGCGCTGGTGACAGCGCGGCTCCATACGCGGCGCGTTTGAACCTCCTGACAGCGGCTCTGCTTTCTTGGTTACCTCCTGGTGACCCCTTGGAAGGACTCCGCCAATTCCCAGCGGTCTGGAGACCACAGGTTGGAAAGCACTGGTTTTGCATAAACTTGTGGTATTCGGCGCAGGCTTAGGTCGCAAGGGCTCCTCTTAGCAAATTGTCAAAGGATGATGTGTACTGCATAAATTAAAACATCATGTCCCCTTGCCATGTGAAAGCATTATTAAAAGAAGCATAATAAGGGATTTCCACCATGTTATCAAGCATACAAAGAAAACTCCAAATGGGAGGGATGGCTGTCATCGGGGTAGAACAAGCTGGGATTTTGGAGAGGCTTGAGAAGCGCTTTGAATAGCCCGTCAGTTGGACAAGGATCAGTGCTGACAATAGCCAGTCTATATGTGGTATGGCCTGTTAACATACAGCAGCAATCATTAAAGGCCTGAGCCGGACAACAGGGCTCTTTGGGGCCCTGAGTGTGTTGGTGGCTTTGGGAGAGCCACCATAGCAGCTCGCCTGCCCTGGGGGCAGCTGCACCCCAGTGAGAGCCAGAAGCGCCCAGAAATAGCTGGAGGTCAATCCTGATCCCCTTTCCATCAAAACCTTAGAGCCATACGCTGCTGACTCACATCTCCAAGAGACCTAAGTGCCAGTATGGTTGATGGAAATCAATGTCCTGATGTTTCTGTGTCATCCCACGACCTGCTATGGAATTATCTACAAATCCCAGCAGAAATGTCATGGAGGAGCTGTAGATTAGTGCCGTGCATAACCTGGTCCCAGCATCCATCGTGGCATCAATAATATTCTGAAGATACCAAAAATGAGAGTATTCTGTAAGACTCTCTGCAGGGAAGATATTGTTTTATTATTCTACATGTACACAGAGAACTGAGCATAATGGGATTTTCCTCCTCTAGTTAGAAGGCTCCAAACCCTGATGCAATATAGTTCCCCATGTTAGGGGGGTTGGAACTAGGTTATCTTTAAGGTCCCTTCCAACCTAAGCCATTCCATGATTCTACAATAAATAAATACCACAGTCATGCAAACACTGTGTTGCCCTTAAACGGGAGGGCAGGTGGGCAGAACATTCAACCTCCAGGCTCCAGATTACAGGGAGCAGCTTTAATAAGCAGGGTAATATGTTTAATGGAAATTCTCACTTTACACTACTAAACACATGTGCATAATAATGGTTTTGCATGCAATATTTTCTGTCCATTGCCATGATTCCCAGCAGGAAAGCAGAGGAGGATAAATAGGTGCTTCAGTCCCTATCTTACAGATGAAGGTGACTGAACCAGAATTTGGGGTCTAGGCCCCAAGCCACA